TTGCAATTTTCCTGAGATAATTTATGAATTTCATTAGGATCTTTCTGTAGAAAAGGTCATGACATCAATGTACAGAGATCTTTTTATGTCTTCCTTTCTAATTTGGCTGACTTCTTTTTTTTTTTTCTTAAAATGGCTAGAACTCCATTACAGTACTGAGCAAAAGTGGTGAAAGTAGATATCCTTTATTGTTATTGGTCTTAGGGAAAATAATCCTTGATGTCACCATTGGCTATCATGATAAATTTTACCACTTTATCTCAATTAATCTTTATTATTTTTTTTATTATGTATACCATGTGTATGCCTGGAGCCCATGGAGGCCAGAATCCCCTGGAACTTGAGTTACAGATGGTTGCCAGCCACCATGTGCATTCTGGGAACTGAACCCCAGTCCTCTTCAAGAGCAACCATTGCTCTTAAGTGCTGAGCCATCTCTCCAACCTCTCAGTTAATATTTTAAAAGTATATTTGGGCTGATAGGCCCAGTTTATTTTCTTTTGTTTTTAATTTTCCTTTTTAAAGTTTCAAACACTGTCCCCATATGAATTTGAAGATCAGCTAACATATTTGTAGAAAAGGGTATTGGAATATTTATATGAATCAGTTGGATATGTGGAGGGTTTTGGGTAGTATTGCCATCACTCCAATATGAAATCTCTCTAGTCATGAGGACTGGTTGTCTCTCCATTTATTTACACTTACTTACTTTATATTTACACTTACTTTTATACTTACTTACTTACTTTCCTTCTACAATATTTTCTAGTTTTTAGCATTTCTTAGAGAAACTGATTAGCATTAATTTAGCATTTCTTAGATTAATTTCCAGGTATTTCTTCTTTAGATGTGATTGTAAATGGAATTGTTCTATTTATTTCCTTTTCAAATTGCTGTTTGCTGACTTATAGAAACAAAACTAGCTCTTGCATGTTGATGTTGTACTCTATAATTTTGTTTAAATCATGTTTAATCTTGTTACTTTCTTATGTCTTCTTTGGGATTTTCTCCATACAGGATCTTACCTATGAATAAGAATATTTATTTCACTTCTTCCTTTTTCAGTTTGGGTGCCTTTTATTTTTTTGTCTAACTTTGCTTATGGTTTCTTATTTGACCCATTTCTATTTAAATACAATGTTTAATTTCTACATAATTATGAAGTTTCTGATTTTTTTTTCTGTTACTGATTTATAATTTCATTGTCTTGTCTTTATTAGATTGCTTGGGCTACTATTAGAATATCGTGGACCGATAGGCTAAACAAAAGACATTTGTTGAGTCTCTCAGTTCTGAAGGCTAGAAGTCCATTATCAAGGTACAAGTTGTTTTTTGTTGAATCTTGTCTTCCTGAATTGGACACATTCTTGCTGTGCTTCTTCTACTTTTCTTCCCGGTACTGGGGATTGAACCTAGGGCCTTGCACATGGTAGGCAAGTGCTCTACCACTGAGCTACATCCCATGCTTCCTTTTTTACTTTTTTATTTGACATTGGGTCTCACTAAGTTCCCCAAAATAGTCTTGGAGTCACTCTTGTAGCCCAGACTGACCTTGAACTTGCAG